TCTCCTCCTCCCCGGCTTAGCTCATGTGCCAGAGCTTCTGATTCCCTAAATTGGCCCACATGACTTGGTTATTGTTTAGACTTTGTATGACCTTTTTACTACAGTGTTAGAAGTCGTGTGATGTTTGTGTGGCAAGATAATGGGATTGCAAGACCGTTCAGGAGAAATCAGGATTGGATGAGTATATAAGGCAAAGAGCATTTGATCAAGGAGTTCCTTTTCTTTAGAACACAAGGAAATCCTGACCATCCTAAATATGACTTTGAATAAGAATAGCAATTGTGTTTTCTCAGCAGTTCCTAGAAGAGGGCTTTCTTTAGAGGGGAGAATGGTTTTGGCTACTTTAGCCAGGATGAGTATCGACTTAGCTGTTGATAAGTTGAGAAACGTGTTGTTCGTCTTTGATGATTTATTAGTACCTTTCCTCTTTTTCTGCAGTCTATAGCTCTGTCTGTCCTTCTCTACCAGGCACTGAGGGCCCTATCGTCCTCTCCTGTCATCCTTCTGCTCTGAGTGAAGACTCAAATAGTCATTCACACCTTACTGTAAATGAGTTTTAAGTAGGACTCCATGTCCTTGAGGAGCTTTTGAAAAAAAGATTCTATTTATTTATTTTAGAGAGAGGGGAAAGGAGGAAGAAAAAGGGGGAGAGAAACATCAATCAGCTGCCTTTCAGGCACCCCCAAATGAGGACCGGGGCTGCAACTCAAGCCTCTGCCCTGACCAGGAATTGAACCCTCAGTCTCATGGATTGCAGTCTGGTGCTCAACCCATGGAGCCACACCAGCCAGGGCTCTTGAGGTATTTTTGAGATTTTATGGTAATAAGACTTCATTAAGGCATTAAGGGTCATGGTTAAGGTAACTGTCTGCTTCTTATAAAGGGATACTCATACCAACATCATAGGCAGTAACGTTTAGAAAAGACCCTGACTCAGTCAGGGCGGAAGGCTGCTCCTGCCATCACTTGTCGTTGACTCTGAACGGAGCCATTCTCCAAGGTCGGGGGATTGCCTTGATGTCCAATCTCCCTGCTCCAGTTTAGAGACTATGAGGGAATTTCTTTTATGTTTTTATGTTGACATAACGTTTACATACTGTAAAATTTACCCTCTTAAAGAGTACAATTCAATGGTTTTTAGTATATCCACAGTTGTACAACCATCACTGCTACCTAATTAGAAAACATTTTCAACACTCTCAAAAAAGGCCATGTCCATTAGCAGTCACTTCCCTTTGTCCCCTCCCCCCAACCCTCACCGGCCACTAACCTACTTCCTGTCTTTGTGGACTTGTCTATCTGCACATTGCATATAAACAGAATCATGTGATATGTAGCCTTTTGTGTCTGGATTCCTTTATTTAGACTAATGTTTTCAAGGTTCATCCATGTGGTAGCATGTATCAGTTCTTCATTTCTTTTTGTGGCTAAATAATATTCCATTGTATGAGTATATCATGTTTTATTTATCCATACATAAGTTGATGCATATTTATACTTTTTGAATACTGTGAATAAGGTCACTATGAATATTCATGTCCAAGTGTTTGTATAAATATATATTTTAATTCTATGAGGGAAAATTTTACCGCCAAGCGATTTTTTTGCCCACGTTCTTCATTAGGCTATCACCTCCCTGGGGGAGTTTTTTCTTTTCCTGTCACTACCATCTGTGCTTGGCACAGTGTCTGGAACCCAGAGGGGCTCAAAAAGTGCTGCTGATGACAATTCAAAGGGCTTGAACTGCATGGAAATTAAAGAGTTCTACAGGATTTTTGAGAATTCCTTTGGTCCTACCAATTCCATTCTGATGGCTGTGAGTTGGGGTCTGGCCAGTTCTAGAAGATTAGGCAGATTCTATTCATTCTTTCCAGAAGTAAAATTCCACCCTCAACAATCTGGGGGAAAAAAAATCACTCTTCCTTTGAAGCTTTTCCCAAACCAACTAGACAAGATTAATCTTCAAGTCTTTCATTCACCTAACACTGAATTTGTACTTTAACAAAGAATTTAGAACCATTGGACTTGGCTTGTAGTTATCCATGCATATGTTTGTATCACCCCCACTTGATAAAGTTTGTGAAGTCAAGGGTTCTTGATATCTCCCATCCAGAGGACCAGCCTGATGCCTCTGTCACTGGAGCTGTGTACTAACTGCTTGTTAATTGAGTGCTATGCAGAGCCAGATGGCCACGTAAAAGGAGGGGTGTAAGCATGCTAAGGAGTTATAGCAAGGGCCTGCATAGAATTTCCCTGGTTCCTGGAACATACAGTGTGGGCTTCTATGGTTCTCCTGGGCAGGAGGCCCAGGAAGTGAATGAACATTATTGAAAGCAGAGATGTGAAAAGCTAAGTCGTTGCACTTTCCTTGTTTTCCTTAGAAAGTATGTTTCATGCTCACTGCTGTCTGCATCGCTGTCCCTGTGGAGGACTCTTCTCTTCCAGAGCTCAAGTCACCTTTTTTGGGGGGATGTTTTCAACGTGGCCTCCAAAGGCGACCATCTGGCCTAAATTCTGGCTCTGTCATTTACTGGCTATGGCCTTGAGCAAGTTATTGAAATTCTCTGTGCTTTAGTGTCTCTGTAAAGAATGGGCACAGTGTTAGCCCTGACTTTCCAAGACCTGGATGGCAGGATTAGCACCACGATCTCTTCCCCCTGTACATTCCTCTATCATCACACAGTACGGTAGTCAGTTTTCTCTCATTTTTTAATAGAGCAATGTTCCTTGGCCCCCGTTCATTTCCCTAGTGGTCTTACCTCTCCAGAACACCCCTGAGAACCAAGAAGCATGGAGAGAAATGACAATACCACCCACATCACTATCAATGTCACTGAGTACCCAACACAATGTCACAGAAACCCTGTACTGAAAATGCATGAGCTTTACTCAGAACACCTCTACTACCTGCACTCACAGGGTATGTACAGTTAGAAGAAGCTGGATCGTCTGCTTTCCTGGCCCGCAGCATAAATGAAAGCAGTCCAGGGTCACTGATTGGGGTGGGAGTAGGGGGGATAGTCCTCCACACGAAATGCTCAGAGTGTGGTACATAACACCCATTGCCATGTCTCTGAGAAGGAAGGCAAGAAAGTGTTAACAGATTTCAGAAAGATTATAATCAATGTAATTAAACTTATAGAATAGTGTCTTCTCACATGCCAGCAGGTGGACAAGGGACCATGCTCATTTTTCTCCTCTTCACATCTCATAAGCTGTTGTTAAAGAGTTTCGGATCTCATATTTCTTTTGCATCCTCGTAACAGCTCCTAAGTCAATAATGATGCTCCTGAGAAATCCATGAATTGTTGGGAAAACAGCTTATCTGTAAAACACCCACAGGGTGGTTTTTAAGGTAATTGGATCTGACCCCATTGAAAAAAATGTTGCAGAATCATTGATATGAATATTTTATTTGAAACCATTATTGAAATAGAATAAGGTTTATGAACAAGGCAAATGTAAATTGTTTCCCTCTTGGTGTAATGCTCCAGAGACATGCTCTTCACCAGGACTCTCTGCGAGGATGGAAATATTCTATATCCGTGCTGTGAAAGCTGTAGCCGCTTCTCACATGGCGCTACTGAGCACTCCACAGGTGGCTAGGGCAACTGAGAAACTAAAGTTTAAATTTTATTTACTTTCAATTAGTTTAAATTTAAAAGCCATATGCGGCTAGTGGCTGCCAGATTAGGGAGTCCCACTTCAGCGTTCAGTACTGTGACTGCGAAGTTTGCTTCAACCTTTGGTCTTCTAGAACCATCTAGCTGGAGCTGATACCGAGAGTGGCCCCGAGATCCCGCCCGATCATGATCATTAGACAAAGATTTCATTAATGGGTGGTTTAACAAGTTTTTCAACACAACACATTTCTTGTGTATCCAGAAGACCGACTTCACTAAGAAGTGAAGAACAGGGACTGGGAGCCAAATGGTCTGTGTTCTCCCAGCCCTTCCGTGGGCATGTAAGTGATTTAATGCCTTTGTCTTCAGCCTCTTCTCTGGCCCCATTGTTGGCTGCCAGACAGTTTTATCTTGATGCTTTTCTATTTCCTTCAGGTGGCTTAGTTTCTTACTTATGAAGGTTTAAAATATATGTGTATATATTTATTGATTTTCCATATTTCTATTTAGTTTGCATTATAAAAGTGACATATGCTCATTACCCCAAAAATAGAAAGAAAAATTCAAATATTACAGAAATGCCTCTTGCCGTGGCCAACCCCAGTCATACTTCTCAGAGATAATTCCTACTAAAAAGTTGATGATGTCCTTCTAGACTTAAAAACAAGAACTGTCAGAGCAGCAGCAGCCGTACGACTGACAGTCACTGAGTGATGATTTGAGTGCTCACTACGCATCAGGCAGTGTATTCGTTGCTGCGCATACATCGTCCATTTAAACCTCACAACAGCCTTAGGGATTTCCCTTCCTAATCAGGGTTGGGAAAAGTGTACACCCTTAAACACTAATACTTTGTCTTTGCAAAAAGGAGACAATATAATACCTTCAGTACTGTAACTTGCTTGCTTCATTCTTTTTTTTTTTTTGAACACAAACTCAATTTATTATTTCTCACAATCCTATGGGTAGCTTGAGCAATTTTTCTGTTGGCTTCACCTGGACTCAGTTATGCAGCTGAGTTCAACTTTCAGTCAGATCGTGGCTAACTAAGCTCAGCCTGAATGGTTGGGACAACTAAGTTTCTCTTCCCCGGTGGTCTTTCATTTTTTCCATTTTTATCTATTGATATTAGAAAAAGAAAGAGAGAGAAAGACAGAGAGAGACGTGGATTTGTAGTTCCACTTATTTATACATTTATTCCAGGTGGTCTTCCATTCTTAAAGAGGCTCTGTTGATTTCTTTTTTTTTTTTATTTTATTTGACTTTATTGATTATGCCATTACAGTTGTTCTATTTCCCCTCATTCCCCTCCACCCTGCACCCCCCTGCCCCCCCCCACCCTGCACCCCCCTGCCTCCCCCCTTTAGTTTATGACCATGTGTCTCAAGTTCTTTAGATTCTATATTTCCCATACTATTCTTGCCCCCCCATCTATTTTCTACCTACCGTCTATGCTACTTATTTTCCATACCTTCTCTCCCTTCTCCTCCTCCCACTCCCCTGTTGCTAACCCTCCATGTGATCTTCATTTCTATGTTTCCATTCCTGATCTAGCTGTCCTTTTAGTTTGCTTTTGTTTTAGGTGTGGTTGTTGAGTTTGCTGTCCTTTCACTGTTCATCTTTTTTATCTTCTTTTTCTTAGATAAGTCCCTTTAACATTTCATATAATAAGGGCTTGGTGATGATGAACTTGAATTTGATCTTATCTGAGAAGCACTTTATCTGTCCTTCCATTCTAAATGAAAGTTTTGCTGGATAGAGTAATCTTGGTTGTAGGTCTTTGGATTTCATGACTTGGAATACCTCTTTTCAGCCCCTTCTTGCCTGTAAGGTCTCTTTTGAGAAATCAGCTGACAGTCTGATGGGAATTCCTTTGTAGGTGACAGTCCCCTTATCTCTTGCTGCTTCTAGGATTCTCTCCTTCATTTTAATCTTGGCTAATGTAATGATGATGTGCCTTGGTGTGTTTCTTCTTGGGTCCAACTTCTTTGGGACTCTTTGAGCTTCCTGGATTTCCTGGAAGTCTATTTCCTTTGCCAGATTGGGGAAATTCTCCTTTATTATTTGTTCAAATAAGTTTTCCACTGGTGGCTGTTCCTTTCCCCCTTCTGGTACCCCTATAATTCAGATGTTGGAGTGTTTAAAGATGTCCTGGAGGTTCCTAAGTCTGTCCTCATTTTTTTGAATTCTTGTTTGTTCATATTTTCCTGTTTGGTCATTTTTTTCTTCCTTCTGGTTCACTCCCTTGATTTGAGTCCCAGTTTTCTTTCCATTACTATTGGTTTCCTGTGCAATTCCCTTCATTTCAATTAATTTAGACTTCATATGTTTTTCTAATTTGTGACTAAAATCAACCAGTTCTGTGAGCATCCTGATCACCAGTGTTTTGAACTGTGCATCTGAAAGTTTTGCTATTTCTTCGTTGCTTAGAGTTATGCGCTCTGGGGCTCTGAGATCTTCTTGAGCCATTTTTGGTCTGTTTGCGCCTGTTAAGTATGAGGAGTGGAACCGTAGGTGTTCACCAGGGCGGGGCTGCTCAGGTCGCTGGGTTGTGCCACTGTATGTGGTGGCGGGGTCAGAGCGGGGAAATGGCGGCCCTCTCTGCTGCTTCCCACCACTGGGGCCTGCTTGGTCCTGTCTCACTGCTCACTCCTTTGCTGGTCTATCTGCACACGAATGTGTGACCACAGTCAACCTGCCGCCCTGCGCCCTCGCTGGGTCTGCCTGTCACTCACTGGGTCCAACCCTTGCAACCCAATGCCTGGGATCCATGCGCCTGAGTCCGTCTGACCAAGTTTTCCTGTGCAGCCCTGCTCCGGCAGCTGCTGGCTTCGCCCTTCTTACCGATCAGGCTGAAGAATTCGTTGTTGTCAGACTTCTGAAAAGTTCAATTTTCTGTGTTCTGGCTGTGTTTTCTGTTGCTAATATTTTGTTGTCTCTAAACTTGGTTGTGTGAGAAAGCACAGTGTTTCTACCTATGCCTCCATCTTGGCGGAAGTCGCTTTCTTCATTCTTAACATAATGTGAACACCTCTCCAAAACCGTATGTACAAAACTTTTAACATCTTCAGTGTTCGTTTATGTGAAGCATTGTAATTAAGCAATCCCTGAAAGATTTTTTTATTACAAACAATGCTCCAGTGCTACAACAAACATTATTTTACAGATATATTTGTGCAATTGTGTATTTCTGTCAGATACATTTCTAGAAGTAGAAACAGAAGATCAGTCTACATATAGCAAATCGTTATGTTGTACACCTTAAACTAATACAGTATTACATGCCAATTATATCTCAATAAAACTGGGGGGGAAAAGAGAGTCTTAACTCCACTCTAGCTTTTAAAAAAATAGCAAGGCATGCAAATGAAAAATGCTAATACTGGCTGCACGATCTGGCTCACAGAAGATTGTATCTGAATGTCCCTTCTGTGTGCTGAAGGCCTTTTCATACCTAAATGCAAATACAAAGTGAGGACCAGGACATCTGTTTCTTGGAGCTGGTTTTGGATTTTTGGTTCTGCCACTAAACAGTCAGGAACTAGGAGCCATGAGGGAAGCATAGAGTGAAACATCTGAGGCCTTGATTTCTTCCCACGCAAAATCACAACACAGTGGAATATATATACAGGGTGGGCAAAAGTAGGTTTCCAGCCGTGAGTAGGCAAAACAGTTTATTCTGGTATTATTATTAATTCATTATTGTCTTATTTTCCATATGAACAACTGGAAACCTACTTTTACCCACCCTATATTTTCTGAAGCCCCCTTTGTTCTGACATTCCCGGATTGGATTAATCCTTTAGCTCTCCGCCTTTGTTTTCCTGTTTCTGAAAAAAGATCGGATTGTTTGGCCTTCCAGGATCAATTAGTGAATGCCTCGGTTAACTAAGACCTTCTAAATATAGAAGGGCTAAGTAGTTCTCTTATTACTTAGAGAGCAAGCGGATCTTTGCTGGAGATAACCTGAAACTTCTTTAACTTCTATAACAGTTACTGGTTCTTTAAATAAAAGCAAGATAATTGTTGAATCCAACAGGCCACTCCATCTCAGCATGAAGTTTATTTTGGTTTTTCCCCCCTTGTTGTCTTTACTATTTTTCCTGTGGGTGTGTTGCATGTTGTCTCGGCATTCTGGAGCCCGGCCATGACAAAGAGCAGGAGGTGTTCGGGGAGGCCCACGTGGTAGCCCATCTCTCCTGAGAGCCTTGCCTTCCCAGAACAAGTATTCCCAACTGTTTGTTCCCTGACAAAGAAGGGCTTGTGTGGGCCATGACCTCACAGAACACACGGCACATTTTGATGAGGGAATTACCCAATCTGCATTTGTGGCGTTTGGGACGAAGTCTGAGATGAGGCCTTACAGGTTCATTGTGTTGTTCCATAGTCCTTGTTCCCCACGGGCCTCTTCACGTGTCTGATGCAATAGCCAGCACCGGCATCGTCATCCTCATTGTTAGGGTGCAGACAGGGGGGATTCAGAGAGGTGCACTCACTTGCCTGGTGTCACACAGCAGTAAGTGGCAGAGCCCAGTGCAGAGCCGGCGTCCCTTCCTCACCCCTTCAGTGGGTCCCAGCATGTTGCTCTTCAGTACTTTTCTGATGACCCCTTTTTATGGCTGGATTCCTCTTCAGCACCTTCTCCAGCTCCGACAATTGAAAAGGTTCAACATCTTGGTATTTTAAGGGGCAGCAACAGTCTTTAGCGTGGAATTTCTCTGAATTTTGGATCCGGCCGATGGTGAGTTTTACTTTCTAAAACACGAGAAAGAAAAAAGTAAAATGACTAATGTTATCACGATCCCTGGTTTTACATTTGCGAAACACTGAGGCAAAAAATTGGTTCAAGGATGTGAGATGCGAGCCCTGAGCCAGTTTGATTCTGATGCAAGCTCCTGAGGCCGCATCACGCTGTCTCTGAGGCCCTGAAGCCAGCTGTTCAGCCTCCTAGCCCCGAGCTCTCTCCAAAATTACTTTATGTAAAGGTATTTTGAAAGGGCCCTAAAATCTCCTTCTGTTATTTACACGTATTGTAGGAAGTGTTATTTGCACTTCTTATTCTCTTATTTTCACGTGGCGGCTGAGGACTGAAGAGTCTCATTTGGGTTCAGAATACAGTTCCAACTCTGTCTAAGACTTGATCTTGCCCCATCTGGTATCAGTTTGCCCCAGGCAGGGCCCATCAGCAGGACTTACCTCCTTCTGGACCGACCGTCTGAGAAACAAGAGGGCCTCCTCCAAGCTATGTGGCTTCAGGTCATTCACGGCCAAAATGTGATCTCCGTGGAAAAATAAGCATCCCAGACGCCGGGGGCCTTCCCAGTGAGCCACACTGCAAGGGGAACACGGCGTCCGACACAAGTGAGGGGCTCTGCTCACTGGCGGTCCAGGACATGGACGGGGACACGGATGGGGGGCCCTGCACTGCAGTCTACCCCGTTGTTACTCCCACTAGTTCTTTTAGCTGTGTGGCACCACATCCAAAGTATTTGGACTCCACTTTCTGGCTGGAACATTCTTTTTCAGCACTGTGGGAGGCTGACCTGTTCTCCAAAGCCTCTACAAAGCCCTCTTAGGTTCCACATCCCTTACTTTAAATAACTGCTCCTCCCCCAGCCCTGGGCTTCTGTTGTACTCTGTGAGTGCCTCCCTTATTGTATATTCACATAAAATACATTTAATATTCACTTGTTTATGTAACTGTCTTTTTCACCAGAAGTATGGTACCACCTCTTAAAAAACTGTTCATAAGTCCATAACTCCAGGTAAACAAAAGGGGCTCAAAAAGTATTTGCTGAAAGTGAGCAGCCCACAGTGATTATGCAATGACTATCTGATGTATAAAAAACCAAATGAATGAATGAGAAAGCCCGGGTGCGGAGAAGTCCAGCTTTAGTCAAGTATTTGTTGAGCCTTAGATTGGGCGAAATGTGCGTAACTGTAGGGCTGTGGTTCCTGCCCCTTGCAGGACTTACAAGGCAATGGGGTGAACCGTCTACTTTACGGGAAAGGGCTTTCTTCCCCTTTAAATATGTAGCCTTCCATCAAAATGAATTACAAAGACTTTAAGAGAATTAGAACCAAGTAAACAGTGATTGTTTCAAGAAAATTCTTGGTCACAGAGCCTGTCATGTCTGTTCCCAGCTAGCAGGTTTTTAGCCGGTGTCTGGAAGTCTAGATGCTGATACGTCCTGTCCTTTTAGACTTTAGATTATTACCAGCTCTGCTAACATCATTCATCCACAAATACTCACTGCCCAATGAGTGGGATAATTTCCAGGGACCATACATATTCCAGCCCATTTCCCTCACCTTGAAAACAGTAAGAAATTTGCTCCTTCCTGGACTTTTGGGTCCTCCTCTACCCACCCACCTCCCTGCTGACGCACCCACAGTGACCACACCCTTGTCTCTGCCTCAAAGACCAGCTACCAACAGCAAAACAACAATCCAATATCTTCAGTAGGTTTTGCCACCTACAGTGTTTCATGGTGTAATTGTTGTCTTCATATTTTCCAACCCAATTTATAGTCAGTACCCATCAAGCCTCTGGCCTTACCATATCTGCCCCGCGGCTTCGGTGAGTGCCAAATAATTGATGATGTCAGAAAGAGGAAGGAACATGTTCAGCTTCTCCACATGGCTCTCGTCAGGTATGTTACTATGAAATAAAACATTTGCAAAAGTCAAATCAGGCCACTGTCTCTGGCTCTCAGCTACGCTTTCTGGGTAAACTTCCTGGCCTCCTGTGAGGTGGCATTTTCCAGTTAAAGAGCATCTAAAACATTCAGAAAAGACTATGAATTTAAGTCACTGAAAAGTACCCACCGAAGCCCTCCCCCCACCTTGGGAGGGGGTAGTGGGTGGAAGGCAATGAAAAGGGAGAAAAAATGGACTGAATTGATTCTATAGCTGTCCTCAGGTCAGTTCGCACTTTTGTCAGCTGGAAATGATTCCTAGAAGAAGACACTGAAAAGAGTTAAAATTGAGAACAGTCTCACCAAAGACCCTTGCTGTCACTTAACATCTGAATGCCCTCCTTCCCTTAGTCTAGAAGAAAACCTCTTGTGAGTGACATGCCTATAATTTTAGTGGTAAAAGCTGGTTGACATGACCCCCAGACCAGGGTGATCTAAGGCCTGAAAGACTAGCCAAGGGAGAATTAAAAAAATATATATTTGAAAATGCCACCCACAGCTCAAGGGACCATGCTGCTCCCAGCTGGGCTGCTTGCTGCGGTTGGCCACCTTGTCAGTGAGAAGGGGAAGCTGATCAGGGTCTTGGCTGACTTTGAGATTTTTTAGGAATGCCTTTAAAATGTGAATTCTGAGTACATAAGGAAGGCTGTCTTGCTCTAAGGGCCCACAAAATTTGAGAAAGTAGAACTGTACTTGATTAATATAGTCAGTTGCACCACAGTTAGGGAGGCCGGCTCCTTCCGGTCGTTGGTGGGCCGGGCTTCTGCTTTGGCAGGTGAGAGGCGAGAGTCACTTCCTGAGTCTTGTTCTTGAAGATGATGCTCCCCATTCTGGGTCTCTGGAATGGTCTGGGATTCCTCTTTGCTCTCAGCAGACTGGTTGGTTGTGTCTTTGAACAAACTTAAGTATAAGAAGTGAACACAACCCTTTTTTAGCATGTCTATTTAGGACTCTCACATTTAAGCCCCTAACAGCCATGTGAATGTTAACAAGATGTTGAAGTATGTCCAACCACCAAAGTCACAGTCACAGTTCGAGTCTAATCCAACAGACTTTCCATCTAAAAGTGGATACAGAGTCAAAGGAACGCTTTACACTTTGAGGGGAGGAGACAGAAGTGAGAGCGTGAGAGACATAAATGTGAAACAGGAAATAACTTCCCCAGGAGATAGAAAAACGCCCCGAGGCTGTCATTAATGGTTTTCTGTGGGGAAAGAGACCAATTCTCACTTTTTCTTGTTCTGAGGTTACCAAACAATGTGCAGAATTTGGTCTTTGATAATTATTTTGTATTAATATTTCAATAGCAATTTTCTATAACAGCATAACAGCTAAAATAAAAATTTAAAATATGGCAGTTCTACTCACCAGGATTTCATTGACATATAATGATGCTCAATTCTCTTGGAGTCCTGTTCTGGACTACCAGGTACAAGGGATTCATTAGATTCATTGGCAGCAAGGATTTTATCCAACTATAGACAAGAGGAGTAAATGTAAGGATGCAAGTCTCCACATAAGGCAGGTATCTTTCTCCTCCTCATGCGCTGGCTCTGGGCCCTGAACTAGGAAATGCATCCACCATTGGATGAACCGTGGTGCTCGTTCTGAGGGGCTGAGCCAGCCAAGCTTTAGGCTCATGCAGCATCTCTTTTCTTCTCCCGGGTCCCCCATGCTCTTGATGCACAATGTTTTGTTAGACTAAGTTGCTATTTATTTTTCAGTTTCACTAGCACGCACTAAATAACATGAATTCTTCTTCCCCGTCAGCGCTACTGTGAAATCGTGTCACCATATAATGCAGAGCTGGCCTAAGGCTGCTGTGTTTACAGGTGACCCAAGTGGATTCAGCAGGCTATAAAGGGTCTTAGAAAATGCTGCCCTGGTGAGGTTCTCAGCAAGCCCCTCAAAATCAAGACAGCCACTTGGACCAGTGGTGGCTTCAAACCCAAGGGGCTTTCTGTTGCCTATCTAACAAATTACATATCAACCCATAACTGAAGAGTTCATTCCAGTTAAGCCAGTCTCCCCACTGCACCCCTACAAATGGTGATCTTCTAGTGCCATTGTCATGCTGCTTCCTTCCCCAGATATGTCCCTTTGCTCTTCTGCCTAGCGAAGTTGTGTTCAGGCTTGGCTGAGGTCCCATAATGCCTCCTGACCACCATGGCCACTGCCAGTCTCTTCCTTCTCTGAACTTCTACTGCACAGTTTTGTACTTTATTTTTTAAATGGTCTTTTAGCTTCCACTTCTGGGTGTATATCTGAAGAAACCCAAAACACTAATTTGAAAGAATAAAGCACCCCTATGTTCATCACAGCATTATTTACAATCACCAAGATAGGGAAGCAAGCCAAGTGCCCATCCATAGATGAGTAGATAAAAATGTCGTATACATTGTGTACACATATATAATGGGATACTATTTGGCCATAAAAAGAATGAAATCGTATTATTTGCAACAGCATGAATGGACTTAGAGGGTATTATGCTAAGTGAAATAAGTCAGACAGAGAATGACAAATACCATATGATTTCACTCATACATGGAATCTAAAGAGAAATTAACAAACGAAATAGAAAAGACTCATAGACCCAGAGATGGTTGCCAGAGGGCAGGGGTGTTGAGGGCTGGATGAAAACGGTGAAGGGATTAAGAAGCACAAGTTGGTAGTTTTACAGAACAGTCACAGGGGTGTGGATTGCAGGGTGGAGAATCTTGTCAACAATGTGGAGACTCTGCACGGTGCTAGGTGAGTGCTTGAAATATCGGGGGGAACACTTCATAAAGTATGTGATTGCCTGCCACTGTGCTGTACACCTGAAACTAATACAAAATAGCATTGAATTTCAACTGTAATTGAAAAAAAAAAGGTCTTTTAGCTTAGTTTTACCTGCCTTGTTGCATTTTGCATCCCATTAAATACCTGGTCAATGCCAGGCATATAGCTACCACACAGCACGGTAGTTGGTTGGACTGTCATAAAAGATTGGTTGCTATCATGTGCCCCAGGGAACGTTAACATGGAAATATTTTGGTGAAAGAAGCGTCCTTTAGTCAACTGAACTTGGGAAATGCTGGGTGTTGTATCCCACCTGGCTATTTATAGTGTATCCCTGTAGACTAAAGGCTCTGAGAATTCTACAGTTCAGAAGCCTGTTTAACCTACTTTAATTTGGTGTTTCTGGATCTTATTTGATTCCAGAACACCTCTTTTATGTGAACACTTGTCACCATCTTGTAGAAAACTCCCAGGTTGGAAAATGCTGAACGTCCCCTTTTCTCTAATTTTGTCTTCCTACTTTCCATCTCCATTCTCTTCCATTGTCCGTCTCAACTATAGCTCCGGGGTTAATGCTACTGGAAGATAATTCAGGTTTTGCCCCTTCCCATCTTAGAAGCCATCACTGCCTCTGTTCTGACTACAGAATGAAGTCACCTGGGCATTCAAGACCCATCATGGTCTGGCTCTTTTTGTCTGTCATATTCCCCACTGTGCCATTCACTCGCTCTAGGATACAGCTCAACTGAACTATTCAGTATATACCTATCAAATGGCGTTCTTGTCTCTGAAGCCTTCCCTGACTCCAGTGGAGGGAGAAAATCTCTGCTCTTCTGTTGGTTCCAGAGCTCTTGGACCAGCCTCTTGGGTAGTGTTATCATGTGATCACAGTAGGACGGTGAGCTCTGGGGGAAGAGTGATGGAAGTTCTATGCCTAGTATAGTCCCGTGACTAGCACGCAGAGGGCACTCAGTAGGGGTTTCCAATCGATCAACAGACTAGTTGATACACAAGGCACAATTCATCACCCAAGGACCTGTGCTCATATTATTGTTTCTTTCCAGAATGCAGAAAGACTCCCCAAGTCAAACAACCAAGTCCAAACTTTGCCTACCAAGTAAAGTCATATGTCATCTCCCTGGAACTTTCTCTGGTCTTGTCTGGAAGTCAGCCCCCTTGTCTCCGATCCCTCCTGCACTCAGGGCATTTTATAAACACCTTTTTTCCTGCATGAAGCCCTTTTTGTCTTTATCACGCCTGGCTTGTATTCAAGTGCCAACACTGAGCACATCACCTGTGTCTGATTCACCGGCTCAGTGTCCCACTGAACCGGGCTCATGCCTCAGGAACAGTGCAGGGCCTCAGCAAATATCTATAGAAGGGATGAATGATTAGTAAGTGGAAGGGTTTACCTCTAAAAGAATACTTCGAGGGCTGACATAATGACTCTCTTCCGTGTCTTGCGTGGTCTCTGGCAAGAAATCATGTGGTAGATGAGCTTGTCTGAGTCCTGGAGAACTTTTTTCCAGGACATGCTGAATAAAGAGATGAAGACAGAATTAATGTTTGTCTTTGCAAGAGACAGAATTAAACCACACGCTTTCTGGGAAAGCCCTAATAGTTTAATTGGATTGATAAGATCAGAGAGTCTTCCAAGGTTGCATCCAGAATCCCACCCTTAAAGTTGTGCCTTGAGTCTGGGTCACCCCTGATAATGTGAAAATATAAGCTCATCTTTCAGGCTTTTCTCCACCAGCGGGACTAGTAACTCAGAGCAAATGGTACTCTCAGGGGGTGGTACTCTAAGTCACTAAGCTCTGCCAAAGTCCCCCACCTCCGTCTTTTTTCTAGTTTTCACCCAGTGCCACCTAAGAAGGTAATTATTAGCCCAGAGTTAAAGCATTGCAACTTTCCTCTGCCTGCTCAACATTTCTCTTTTGTGCTCTGCTCACGTGTTTCTATTGTTCTCATAGCAAGACAGTTTGGTAGTGTCGATCATGTGACAGTAGAATTATAGGCTTCGGGGTGATTTAGGTTCGACCAATTACTGCCTTCCCTCCCCAACAGATACGAGATATTCTACCAATGGAGCTGCTTTGCATGGCAGGAAAATATTACAATTTACTTCTTCCAAGAACAATGGCTTAGAACAGAGGGGCTTGAAAAGACCCCGAATGTTCTCTAGGGAGTTCTTGAAAGAAAGTGATTTAAAAAACAGATGCATTTAAGTTATGTCCTGCTGTCTATTCATCCAGCTCCATGCCCGTGGAGCCAGATCACGCTGAGCTGGGGATGAAAAAGGGATCTAATTTAATTTCGACAAACAATAAAACCAACAACAACATGTAATCCCAACAAAGCAGATGGTATTCTTGGCTGGAACTGATGGAAATGTCACTGGATTAGAATACAGAGTGTATACACAGTGAGACAACCAAAGACATTACCTTCGCAGGGAAGGAGTATCATGAGTGAAGAGCAAGAGGCATTTACAGAAAAGGGTTGGTCTTCCCAACCCTGTGTCCTGTCACCTTTCCTACAAGCATGAAATGAGGTTTTGGCTTGGTGAGCTTGATAAGCCGCAAAATGCTTTTAAAATAGTTGGAGAGCTTCCAACTCGATAAAAACAGGAGGTTGTGCCATATTAAGACCTGCCTGGTACTCAAGGAGAAGGGAAAGTCTGTGGTTACATCTCTAAGGTGCAAAATGGTATTTTATGGCAGAAGAAAATTAACACTGACCCCATTTATTAATAATATCTGAACTTGGAAAGATTACAAATCCTAGAGAGCCAAGACTACCATTCCAAATCACTCTCAAGGGGCAGATGGATCATCTTTCTTCAAATGAACTTCATTAGAAATGAAGAAGAAATTACACACACCCACACACACAAGGAGAAGCCAGACCGATGTGGGTAAATGAAGGACATTAATAAAAATTCTGATTTTGGATGAGGAGCACAGATGATGGGGCAGGAAATCAAGTGGTTTTTGGCAATTTTTTTTACAGAGCTAATCCATGCCGTGTGTGAAAGGAAGAACAAGGGTACCAGCCAGGCTTTTGTTTAGTTCAGGGAGGGGGGCGGTTTCCCAACATGCTCCGTGTACATGGAGGAGCATCCAAAATGAACAAATCCATTTGGAGATGGGCAGGGCAAGCAGTAAGGCTCATCTGTAGTCTGGCCAGCAGATGGACCATAGGACCAACTGTGGGGCTAAGAATCATTCTTGTGATGGGTTAGCTTTGAGAAAGGTGTCCAGTACATTGGAGAGATGTTCCAACCATCAGAAGACTTCCATCCTGAGAGAGGTGGGGCAAGTCTGCTCACCGTGTCTGGAGAAGTGTTTCTCGGTGAGGTGGAGACAGCCCCCGATGTGCTGGAAGAACCAAGGTGAGGGCTGGGGTCTGGAGAGGGCCTGGCATTGCTCCATGAGCATTTCTCCTGCTTGTGAAAAAGAAATACTGGAATCAGGACACCACTGGTCTCTTATTTGGAGTGAAGCAACAGCCTCATTCATGGGCTCCTGCCTCTGGTCTTTCACCATTAACATTTATACTGCTGGCCAGTGCTCTCTCACTAAGGCAGGAGGTGATCTTGTCTTTCTCCTGTTTCCAAATCCTCAAGGACACTCATCATGGCCATGAGAGATGCCCTAAACTTCCCTCAACCTATTTTTTCAACCCTACCCTTTTGCACCCATGCTTTTTTCTAATAATTCAAGTCAACTTGTAAGAAATATGTTGCTTTACTTTCCTCCTTGGCTCCTGCTTTTGTTGGAAGCATAGAGCAACCTATGTCAAAACAGTATCTAGAGACCACAGTTTCATTTATGGTCTGCCCTCCAAAAGGACTCATGTGAATTAGCAAAGGTTCTTAGGGAGCAAACAAAAGAAACCTTGAAGTCACTAGCCCTTACCTTAAAGGGACATTATATTGAAAAACGCAAGATAAATGAAGAGCATTTTTACAGAAACCACCCTAGACTTAGTCATTTCAAAGGTGGCTGTCATGTACCTTGAATCATGATGATGGAAAATGCTGTCGTTTCAGCTACTATTAAAAAGTGCCACAGTTAATTTTCACTCCTCTTACCTCAATAATGAAAACCTGAAGTATGTACATTTGAGTTCTCTTGCAAAGCACAAAAGTGTTTTTTCCCCATTGTTAATCATAAAAATAACAAGGACGTACATTTTCACACTTATTTATTCCTTGTATTAATGCCAGTTGCTAAGGAGAAAAGAAAAGCGACCATTGTTCCCTTATGAAAGGAGGGCTGTGTTCAGGTGCCCTGTTATTTTACGAGTGATGGAGAGTCACCTCTGTATTCGGGTGCGCTGCTTTAATATCCCGGCATAATGATGACATGAAGGAGACCCAGTCTTTAATCTTCTCCCTGTTGATGGGAATAAATTTTCAACTGGCACGTAGCGACAATAGCGCCTTCACTCCTTTTGAACCAGAGAAGGATTCTTTTATTAAGGTTGGAACAGGCAGTCAGAACAGGCACCAGGGAAATAAGGATTTCTTTCTCTCCGTAGTTTGAATGACCCCTCTGGCTCCTTACCACCTCCACGTGCACACGCTAGAATTAACACTCACGCTGCCTCTGGGAGGGAAGCTCCAAGAAATGGGAAGGAGCATAAGAAATAACAGGAGTAACCCCAGGGTCCTGAGCTTTCGCTCTGACACTGATTTCTTTTGTGTTCCTAGGCGAGCCCTGCACCTGTCGGCGCCATTTTTTTGTGTACCTATCCAGGTGCGCCTCCCTGGAGAGGATGTGTGTGTTGAGGAAGAATGTGCTTGAAAAGGTTTCTATAGATCACATTTTTTTTTCTGTTGATTCTCATGACAGTGTAGAAGAAAGCTTTTTGCCCCTGGGCGGATCTGAAACAGATCAAAGCTCCTTGTCCTTTGGCTCTGCATTCGCTGCCTCCTCCACACGGCTTCCTTGCCCAGCAGATAATCATCTAGGAAGAATCTACCTTCTTAAAACCGAGGCCCCCCTCAGGGATGACCACACCCTTCCCCTCATACATGTAGCTTGTACAGATATTTGTGCATTGCTTCCTTTACTGTAGGGAACCTGTAGGGAACCTATCCACTGGAATGGCAAATGTAGCCCAGCCCTACTGGAAAGCCCATAGGCACATGTTGGCACACAGGAAGCCAAACCCACAGATTGGCTTTCCCATGGGAAACCAGGCCTGCATTGTACCTAGGCGGCTTTGAGGCTTGCTCTTGCTAAAACTCCCTCACCCTGAGTTGAAGCAGAAAAATGCTTACTGCGTATCTTTAATGTAACTTCCTAAAGTCTGTGCTAACTCTCCCAAGGACTGAGCGTAACCAGACTAATCACTCTTGTCGTTCCCTTGCATTTGCAACATTTCTTCCTTGTTGATCTGTAACAAGTAATCAGTAACATCCTTTCCTTTGTTATTTGTAAAAAGGAATCACCTAAAGTAAACCTGAGCATAATGAATAAGAACCTTCTTTGATGTACCACGCTATTAGAAAGCCAATAAAAGCTTGTCAGGGCAAAGGTCAAGGTGCTCTCCTCTTGAGAGAGTGGCCAAGGTGTTCTCTCTCTCAGACAGAGGCCGAGCCATCCCTTTTTTCCACGGGACTTTGGTAGTTGGTGTGAATTTGTTTCATCTCATCTACAACACCGTGGACCCTGCTGGCCAGAGTCGGCATCACTTTACCAGGTATGCATCTGGGTTGATGATGACTATTGTGGGGTCCCCCTCAAATTTATATCTGCTTGAATTCACATTCAAGTCCCAATCCCCAGAACCTCAGAACGTGACCTACTTGGAAATTGGGTCAGGTCATTGCAAATGTAATTAGTTAAGATGAGGTCCTACTGATGTAGGGCAGAATCCTAATCCAACATGACTAGTGTCCTTCTAGAAGGGGACATTGAGCACTGAGACACGTGCACAGATGGAGAAGGCCATGTGAAGACTGAAGTTACACTACTGCTGCAAGCCAAGGACCTACCAGAAGTTAGGAGAGAGAGCGGCCTGGGACAGGTCTTCCTTGGGGCCTTCAGAGGGAGCATGGCCCTGGGACACCTTGATTTCAGACTCTGCCTCCAGAACCGAGAGGATATCCTTTCCCATTGTTCTAAGCTACCCGCTATGGGGTGCCTTGCTATGGCAGCCCTAGGGAACACACACTGTGACTTTTCAAGGTATTTTAACACAGAATGAAGACTGCCCAGGTGGTGTTTAAGGTTGTCAGCAGGGGTTTCTGCTGTAAGATGCAGGTTTACTGATTATTGGTTTAAGATAGTTTTGGTTGGTTGGTTGGTTGTTTTACAGTCAAGAGACACTGTTGGCTTACCACTCACCTGTCAGAGCCAATGAGGAAGTATTCTCTGCTAGCCGTTCTGATGGACATCACCTGGTGGGGGTGGCATTTAAACATCTTCTGTACAGCTTGCATTTTTATGGGGCTACTTATGCCAACTTCTATACGAGCATTTCTGTTAGATATAGACAGAAAGTGTTACATAGATGCAGATACAAGTGAGGAAGAAAACTGACTGTTTTGTGTTATGATTCAAGTTGAATAAAACATTTGGTTTGCTTGTTCCATGTTTTGAAAATTACCTAATCATTTCAGAAAATAAGTTTAGATCTGGTTCATCGAATACTTTGTTCAATGTGAAACTTAATTCAAAACTTTCTATTTTAGTTGGTTTCTTTAGTCCACAAATTATCAGGTTTTCTAATGTTTTTTGTACTTAATTCCTTAAAGACCAAAAAGCTAACCTAAATATTTTTTAAAGTCTATCCTGGCTTTATGAAATAATAATTTAATCTGCTCTCTCTCATCTAAGAATTAAGTATAGAGTCTTGTGTAACTAAGTGCTTATTAATAGTTCGCTAGTAGAATGCACAATATGAAATAATTATTTAGCTATTTTTTACTCAAAAGTTTCCCATTTTTGCTTCTTTCAGCAGCAAATATCATAAGTATGAAGCCCTTGCTTCTTTCAACAATAATTTAAATTTCAATTGCATTGCAGCATATTAATGTTTGCTCGTATAAACTTTTTCTCAATTGGATACTTACTGATCAATTTTAATGAAACCTCTGTGCTGGTGGTCTTTGTAATAAGAAAGATTAAAGCTGTTTTCCCCACTCCTTGACAGAACAAAAAACCGCTTTTTCCAAGAGGTCTGAAAAATGAAAACATTTTGCATTTCGGTTAAATCTCAGAGGAAGGGATTTGAAAAACTGCTCAGGAGGCTGCTGGGAGGCCTGCCGAAATCACGTGAGTACTTACTTCTGAGGAGAAAAGCTGGGGCGGTGGTGACTTAATAAAGTATTCCCATTTGCACACTTCATTTTCACAATATGGAAATGGTTTGCCTAATAAAAGAAAGTAAACAGAAACTCGGTTTGTTCCCTGTACATTTCTGAAAAGAGCTTCTTCAGTTGGAAAACACCGTTTACTTCTGGAAAGTCTTCAAATTATGCAGTTACGGAAAACAAGCAAACAAATCAACAAACAAACTAAACCTCTCTAATAGGCCCGGAAACACGAAGGACCCGAAGACAAAGTGTGTGATTCTTATTGACCCGCAGCGGGGACCTTCATTCGGCCGACATTTAGAAGCACCTAATTCAGCTCATACCTGCTGGGTTCCCTGTTTCTTTTTCTTTCTGTTTCTTATTTTTAAAAGATGTTATTTATTTATTTTCAGAAAGAGGGAAAGGGAGGAAAGAAGAGAGGGAGGAAGGGAAGGAGAGAAACATCAAAGTGTGGTTGCCTCTCACATGCCCCCACTGGGGACCTGGCCCACAACCCAGACATGTGTCCCAACTGGGGATCGAACCAGTGACTCTTTAGTTTGCAGGCCTGCACTCAATCCACTGAGCCACACCGGCCAGTGTGGGTTCCTTGCTTCTGAAGCACTTTGCTGGCATTCTAGATGTGAGCAGAAGCTGGTCTCCCTGGTGAAGCACCAGCCACAATAGCAAGATTATTAAAGCAAAAACAAAAACAAAAAAACCCTCTTGTCATGGAAAACAAGGTGGAAAAAGTGGTTATAGGGGTTTCCAAAATACTAAATGCTTCTTTGTAAGTGTGGAAACTATATGCAATTTTGATATTTTCTGTTTTCCAATATGTTTGCAAGAAGTATAAACTACTTTCATTATTTCAAAAACACAGCTAATGTTAAAATTTAAAAAAAATTTTAAAGTTTGGTTTTGCTTTTACCTACAGACCATAGTTCTAGTTTGTTCCTGGTTTGGGAAGAGGCAGCCTTCACTGTAGGATGAGAGCTTTTCTATCCGGGGAAAACAGAATTGGGGATGCCACCGCCATCACCTTCCCTCCCTTCCTTTTGCAACAATTCTGCCTTCAAAGTGCTCTCCACTGGATGCAGTACACCTATGCAGACTTCCATTCCATTGCTCAAAGCAGTTTTTGATTCATCGATTCTGATGCCTTTTAGTGCTTCTGCCATTTTTTGTTTCACCTCTTCCACATCGGCAAAATGTTTCTCTTTGAGGGCTTTTTCATTTGGGGAGACAAAAAACCAAAAAAGTCCCTAGGGGCAACATTGGGTACATACTGATGGTAAGGTGGGGGAACCGGTCATGCCACTTTTGGTAAAAAAAAAATGCTGAACACATGGTGTGGGCAGGTGCACTTGTAAATCACCCATCATGAAATAGGCAAACTTGTTGAAAGAGCCTTCAAAAAAATTCACTGAGGCTGAACACAGCCTCTCACAGCAACTCCAGGGGGTACAGTGACACAGATGGGCTCCTAGAACACCCACCTAGCAGGGGAAGCCTGTACTACAAGGGGCCTGCCCTCCAGAGGATAATTTTGGTTTTTTGAGTCCCCCCTCATAAAGCAGTCTTCAATCTGCCCATAGTAGGGGTGCTTTCTGGTGGTATTAAATTTAGAGGATTCAGTAAATGTCAATACTTTGTGAAAGTTTGGGCTTACAAGTCTCTAATAAGATTCTGAAGAATTAGTAGAATCTTAAAATTGACAAGCTGATTCTAAAATTTATATGAAATAGACAAAATAACTCTGGAAAAAAGACAAAGTGAGAACACTAACAGTACCTGATTTCAAGAACTATTATCAAGCTATAGCAACCAAAACAATATGGCATGAAGATAACTAATATATCTATAGAACAAAGTAGATACTCAAGGAATAAGCCCACACATACATGGGGCAACTGATTTTTTGACAAGATGCAAAGGCAATGCTTCTTGGATTCATGTAGATTCATTGCAATCCCCATCCAAATCTCAATGACCAGTTTTGCCAAAATGGACAAGCCTAACCTCAAATTCATATAGAATTGCAAGGGGCTCTAAAAAGTCAAATGATCTAGAAAAGGAAGGACAAAATTACAATACTCACATTCCCAAGTTCAAAACTTTCTACAAAACTACAGTGATCAAAGAATTTTGTGCTAGTACATAGGCTGATGGCATAGAATTGTGAGTCCAGAAACACACCCATACGTTGGTGGCTGAATTTCAATATGGACACCAAGATTAGTCCCTTCAACAAATGGTGCTGGAATGATTGGGCATCCACATGCAAAAGAATGAAGCCGGAGCCCTAGATCACACTATACACAAAAAATAACTTAAAATGAGTCAATGGCCTTCCTATAAAAGCTAAGACCATAAAACTTGCAGTAGAAAATACAAGGATAAATTTGTATGGCCTTAGACTTAACAGTGAATTCTTAGATATGACATCAAACATGAGCATTAAAGACACAATATGTAAACAACTTCGCCAAAATTAAAAACCTTTGTGTACCAAAGGACATTATCAAGAAAGTAAAAAGGTAACCTGCAGAATGAAAGAAAATATTTGCAAATCACATATCTAATAAGATTCTAGTATCCAGAATGTATAGAGGACTCTTACCATGCAACAACAAAAAGACAAACAACCCAATTTCAAAATGGGCAAAGGACTCGAAGAAACATTTTTCCAATGAAGATATATAACAGTGCAATAAACATATGAAAAGTTATGTAACCAGAACATTAGTCACTAGGGAAATGCGGATCCAAACTGCTGTGAGAAAATACCTCGTGCCCACTAGGATGGCTAAACTTCAAAAAGTGGAAAATATTAAGTGTTGGTGAGGATATCAAGAAATTAAAACCCTCATACACTGCTGGTAGAATGTGAAAAAAATTTTGGTGGATCTTCAAAGTTAAACATAAAATTACCATAGGATCACTCAACTCCAATCCTAGGTGTATACCCCAAAGAACTGAAAACATATATTTTAACAAATCATGCATGGATATATTCATAGTAGCACTATTCACAATAGCCAAAAGGTGGAAACATCCCAAATGTTCATCAGCAGATAAATGGATAAACAAACTGTAATCTATAATGAATCTATTCAGCCATTAAAAAGGAATAAAGTAGTTATACATGCTACAACATGGATGAACTTTAAAAATATGCTTATGGAAAGAAGCCAGCATAGTGCATGGTTTCACTTACACGAGATATCTGCAATATTTCTGCAATGTAGCTACACCCGTAGAGAGAGAATACAGATTGTTGGCTGGCAGAGGCTGGGGGCAGAGAGAGAGGGAGGGGGAGGAACGGCACACAGGTATGGCCTTTACCTCAGAGTCATGGTAACGTTGGAACTGGTGAGGCGCGACGGCTGAATAACACTGTGAATGTGCCAAAGGCCACTAAACTGGCCATTTTAAAGGCCGCTTTAAAATGCTTGATTTTGTTCTCCTTATTTTTTTTGAAAAAAGTTAAAGAGCTATTATATTTTTAAGTCAAGGGCTGTAAGACCATACAAAGTTTTGGCATGAATATTCATGGTAGCTTTATTTGAAAGAGCCAAAACTAGAAGCTACCCAGGTGTTCATCAGCAGGTGAATGGATTAGTAAATTGTGACATATTCATGGAGTACGACTCAGAAATAAAAAGGAATGAACTCTTTATACACTCAACAACATGGATGAATCTCAAAAGAATTATGCTGAGGGAAAGAGGCCAGGCAAAAGTGTGTGTAACGTGGGATTCTACTTACATAAAAAACATATATGATGCAAAGTAACTTGTGTCAGACAGAAAGCAGATCAGTGATTGTTGGAGAAGTGTGGGTGCAAGGAAGGGTGAAAGGGAGGGGAAAGGAAACTTGTGGGCTGGTGGAAATGGTCATTATCTCGATCCTGGTGATGGTTTTATGGATGTATATATATGTCAGAACTTATCAATGGTAGACTTTAAGCATGCCAATCCACTGTATGGCAATTATGCCTTGACAGCAGTTTTAAAAGATTAAGGAAACAAATTTGAAAAAGAATTAACCATCCTCTTACATACCTAGCCCTCCTACTGCTAGGTAAAGGAATATACCTTCAGAAAAAAAAAAGTTACACAAAAGTTTACCAGCTTTCCTTGTCTCAGCAGGCAAAGACTGGAGGCAACAAGTGAGTGAATCAACAAATTGTGGCACATCCCTGGGACACTACTCAGTAACACACTTCTGTACAAAAAGGGACAAATTAATGATCCCTGCAGCAACAGGGATGAATATCAAAAGAATTATGCTGTGTGAAAGAAGCCAGAAAAAGAGCTGCATACTGTGTGGTTGCCATTTCTGAAACTGTAGGAAATACAAGAGAAACTGAGAACCACAGAAACAGAGCAACAGGTCCTGGGTGCTGGAGGGGACAGTCACAACCAGGCCCAGGAAAACTTCCCAGAGTGATGGCTATGTTCATGCTCTTGATTGTGGTGCTGGTTTCCCAGGCACACACATGCATAAACACTTATCAAACTGTACACTTCAAATGTGTACAGTTTATGATATGTCCATGACACCCCAATTTTTAAAAAAATGACCAATCTAAAATAATGGATCTTTCGGGTGTACAGCATAGCGGTTACATAATCATATATTTTGCAGTGTGTTCCCCTGATAGTTCCAGGACCCACCTGACACTGTACATACTTATCATAACATTATTTCACTGAATTTATTAAGGTGACATTGAGTATATGCTGTAGTTGTAAAATAAACAAATAAAATGTGACTCTGGTCACACCACTCTGGTGTCACACAAAAGGCTTCAAGGGTCACTGGCCATGGCAGGCCAGTGTCTGGCCCAATAGAGTGCGTCATTTCTGCAGCCTCATCCTCTATTCTCTCCTCTTCTATCCAATAGCTACGTTTTCTTTTTTTTTTTTTTACTTTTATTTTTTAATTTTATTTATTTTTTTGTGCTTTCAGGTCTTTATTTAATTTTTTAAAAATTTTTTAATGATTATGCTGTTACAGTTGTTCTATTCCCCCCTTTCATTCCCCTCCACCCTTCCCCCCCATCCCCACCATTACCCCCCCTTTAGTTTATGACCATGTGTCTCAAGTCCTTTAGATTCTATATTTCCCTTGCTACGTTTTCCTTTGAACACCTCCCGCCTCACCCCACCCCTTGCTTTTGCTCCTGCCATCCTTGTCTGCTGAGATGTGCTCTTTCCCAGTCGCTTTCAAAGCCCTACACATCCTTCAGGGTCCAACTAAATGCCTCCCCCCTCCAGCCTGCCTGGATTCCCACAGCTACCTCTGTGCTTTTTCTTCCTCAGATGCTCATAGCACTGTGTGCACGAGTCGTGGTTCCCGGCACAGCCTGGGTCTGTGTGCTTATCGTAACTTTCCAATACAGCGACTTGCATATGCGTCCTTAACTTCCCAACAAATTATAGACTTGCTGAGAGCGATGACTTGATAGTTAATCTGTATGTCCTCTGCAGTATCAATGAAGCACAGTGACGTACTAGTGATAGGTGCTTTGAATAAATATGCAAAAATATTTTTTGAGTTGAATTAGACAATTTGATTTCTAACTGATTTCACCCTAAACTCAGGCCTTCTAATCACACATCTGCAATGAACTATGTAAATCTGAGCATGAGAATAATACACTTTGAGCTACCCTCATAAGAAGCCCATATGACAATTTAGGCCGTTTCTCCACGTGAGGAATTTCATATAAAATTAAGGAAATCTTTCCTGGTCTTCTCTGGGCTCTGGTTGTTGTTAGAACCATCTTTGAGCAACAGAGTAACATGAAACAAATGGAACAAATCAGCCCATGAAAATCAGAAATTGCCAGGTTTCTAGGTAGGTGAGCTCTTGCAAAATAGCTAACTGAATCCAATAGCTTCTGCTGCATTCTCTGAACTAAGAATCATTGTCCCAGAATACCACCTGTTATCCCCACTAAAACCATCTTCCATATCCCCAGGAGGTTGATGGGAATTGTTCACCATTTCAATAACAAGATTTTTTCTTCTGAGATCATGCCCCTTGGGTACCTGGACTCTTCTGAGGTTTGGATTCCATTGTGGCTATGTGCTTTCACCTGAGAAAAAGAATAATCGAGTAGTTAGTCCCCAAACAGTGCGCTTCATTGGTTAGCCACTTGATCATCAAGAATCAGGATGGTGCCCTTGAGTGTGGATGAGATGGATTATCTGCCTCCTCCCCCAGCCCCCAGGGCTGACGGTAGCCATGGCAACAAGGACACATCCAAGCCATGCTCACCAAGTGGCAGTTGTGTGGAGATGTGGCTGGGATGACTGGAGTCTTTTCTTCCCTGGGCTTTGCTTCTGCCCTGATGCAAGAACCCCTAGCAGGGAGCAACACCGAGAAGGGCAGGTAAGAACAGGGTGCACTGGAAAACATATACCTGAGAAACATTTTTGGTCCCGTGGAAGCCCAAGGTAAGCCCTGCCCCATGCCAGGAACTCACTTTCTCCAGAGGGAACCTAAGAGCAAAGACCAGGGTGAGACAGTTTAAACTGTCTCAGCCACCTGAGTGGCCCATTCCCAAGGCCACCTGACTCTGGGGACTGAGGATGACACCCGCAAAACTGACCCTGAGAGGAGACGACTTTTCCTGGAAAGGCTGCCAGTGCTCCCATGTCCATTACTGGACCTGAGAGATGGGGAATCCCGCTGGATTAAGGGTCCCGCAGGAGCAGGTGAGGTCTTTAGAACAGGAATGTGTTAGTGGCCTTTTTTTCCTCTTCTTTCTGTCTGTCTTTTTTTTTTAATCTTGAATGAATAAGACTCTTGCAATAGAAGGAAGAACTGCCCAGGGCAGCCCCGGGACAGTCCCAGGGAGGAGCCCAGGGACTTTTGCCTTCCTGGGCATGTTATCATTCCTTCCTGCTGATTTCTCTTTTTCTTCTGCCTCGACTCATTCTTTCCTCCAGGGCATAAATGACTCAGCAATTCCTTAATCATACACATTTATATATTTATGCACCTTAATCTATTTTTTCAAACATAGATAACAGTCTTCAGGTTAAGAACACAAGCTCTCAAAGCCTACTTTTTGTGGTTTGTCAGTAGCATGTGGGAGCTGTTTGAAGACCAGTGGGTTTTTCTGGACTCTGAACTCACCTAGCATGGCCAGAGAACAGTTTTCCTCTGTTGAGTGAGGTATCCTTATATACTAACAATAATGACTGTGCAAACAAGTAACAAGTGAAATAACAAGTAAGATCTTTCTGGGGCAACTCGAGGTGTATGTTGAAGAACTGGTGCCCTGGGCCCTGGGCCCGTATGTAGCTCTGCGCCCTGAGCTAAATGCCTGAGAAAGGCACCAGGCCACTGAGGCCACCCCCATCGCCCACCTCCCCACCCCATTCCCAAGAGAGCAGTACTGCATGAGGAGAGGAATATAACATACCTTAATTTTGTCCACTCCCCCTCCCCACATTAAAAAAAAATTTTACCCCTGTGATTTTGCATCCAATCCATTAAGTTCTTCCCAGTTTTGGGGATTTCCCTGCCTGAGGCAGAATCTGGGACCTGTGGTTTTCCGCCCATGGCCCTTCCCTCCATCCCCTGTACGTGGTGGCATGTGTCCATCTCTCCCATGGAGCTTGGAGCTTAGTGAGCACTGGGGTTCAAAGATCAGATGTGAAGACTGAGCGAGAGTGATTAGCTGAGAGTGAGATATTTTCAAGCAGTGTGTACTGCTAGCTCTTGGTTAACAAAGCCAAAATTCTCTTTTTCTAGATAAAACAATGATTTGTATAGCCTTCGCAAATTATAGATGTGTTTGCACACACCATTGCTTTGGTGTCTCAGAGCTGTGCTAGGAGGGAGCTTGTTTTACAAACGAGCCTGCGTTTTCTGGGTGCCCCAGCAGGGTGCTATAATGCACCATACCGATGCTCACTCACAAACAATATATATTTCATATTATCCATATAAATTATATATGAAATCTTGTATATGTATACACATATATAAATCCATTATATACATTTATATGCAATGCATTATATCAACGCTTATATGATATAAGCAAGCTCATATATATGAAATCTCATGTATATCTCACATAACAATACCATAAGGCTCACACTGCTTGTACAATGATACAATACCCATTTTACAGAGAAGGGCACTCCCCAGAGAGATTAAGCAATTTGCCTTTGGTCCCATAACTAAAAAGAAGCAGAGTCAGAATTCCAACTTGAGAGTTTGGTGTCTAAACCCCTTTCTCTCCTTCCTAGCTGAGAAAGAATTAAATCGCTTCATAGTTCTGCTTGCATTTCTAGTCATTGCCTCCAAACAAAAAAGCCTTTCAGATTAAGCTCTTTGATCTCATTCAGGAGAATCTACCCACTATGGTGGTTGCCTAACCTGGTCATTGTCATGTCATTTGGGATTTGATGAAGGTGATATCCAGAGGTCCCATTTCTGTCCACCTCCCCCGCCCCAGCCCCACAGCCTCCAGACGGTACAGCCCACAAAGGCAATGAAGAAAGAGTCCATACAAGTAATTTTGTCCAATTAAGCTTCCGGATCACCACTGCCCTGAAAACCCAAACTAATCATGCCAAACAGTACTTACTGGAAGCCAGGAGTTCACTGGTTGAGCTCTCAGCAAAGCACCCTGTCCTTGGGTTTCTGGAGTTCGCTCCCACTCCCTCTGTGCTGAGTGCCAGGGTGAGGACTGAAGGACAAGCTCTGTTTGAAATTTGAACCAACAGGAAGTTCCCTGACTTCTGTTTTAGGACAGATTTTCCTCCTGCCCCACGTTGAAAAGGAAGCTGGTAGCCCGGGAAACTTCTTGTGGCTTGGACAGAACTGCCCTTGGCATTCCAGCTGTCTAGCAATAGCAATAATAACAACAACAAAAGAAAGCACGAAAAAAAATTCAGCCAGACTTTGGACCCAAGTCACAATGACTTACTGACAACAGCGCCAGCCCAGCCTTGACCTCCTGCAGGGACGACCATTAAAACAGTCCCCTTGCTTCCCACCCATGAGTGTCCTCCCTCTGTCTGCCTGGTGACGACAGAAAAGATTCTTTTGCACTAAATAAGGTTACAAAAGCCTGGCTTCTCCAACACATTTGCACTCTCCAAGGAACTACAGGAAGATTTGCTTATTCACCCATAATAAAGTTATTATCAATAGGGTGACACTGGTAGGTTCTCCTGCACACCCACCCAACAGTCCTTAAGAATAAGCAGGAGCAAAAGTCAGAAAACTGTACTTGAACAATTGAATAAATAAATTAAAAAAAAAAAGAAGAAGCAGGCTAATGGGAATGTCCACTCTTACACCTTCTGCATGGTATCTGTCCACCCAAGAGTCTTTGGTATATTTCCATTTATATTAATTTTTCTTGGGGGGAAAAAGGAAGTGGCTAATAAATTTTATTTTCTTTGATCACCTTTAGAAGTGAATGTACAGCATTTTAATCTTTTTCTTTCCTGGTGTAACTGGACTGAAACCAGCTCTGCCAGGTATCCACTGAGTGGCCTTGGCCAGTCTGGGGCTTCTCCTCTTCAAAACGGGGTGGTGGTGTTCACCTCAAAGGGTCTTTTTCAATATTAAGTAAGATTTTATATCTATTTTAAAAGCATGTGGTGCCGTGCTTAACCTACTGTAAGCACCAAACAAAGACCATTCTCCGTTTTTCTCTTTTGTGTCCCTGTGCAGGGTACAGAGTACAGGTCCCTTTATGTAGAACACACAGCTGAACTTCAGACACTCACATACGATTAGTTTATCATTTACTACCTGCACAGGACAGGCGGTTTAGGAGGAATAATTTCTTGGAATGCATTTCCTTGTATGTTTCTTTAGGTCACCTTCTGACTACTCTGGAAATAGCCTTTAGTATTTTCACATTTGGTCCTTAACTAGATATTACTAGTTATCGCTCTGAGTAGTTCATAAAAATCTGGCTCTGGTCTCCACCTATTAGGGAACTAGAATGCTACCAATAGCCTATCATCCTAATCCAGGGACCCAGCCAAAAAGTGGGAGAGAGAAAATTACTTTAACAGTATGTTTCTTTGGAAAAATGATATTTATAAGTCAGTAAGACAAACAGAAGGACTTCCCATCCACCCATCCATCCATCCATCCATCCCTGTGTCCATTTACCTACACACTTACTCACTTAACCCATGTGTTCTAGGCTTTTTGGTCATATTTTCCTAGTAGTATTACAAAGCTCTTTGAAGAAGAAGCTTAGTATATTCTATAGGTGCCTAGGAAAGCCATAGTAGATGCCACCTGTAATATAAAAACTTGCAAGCAACCCAAACTTGCAAAACTTGCAAGATCTCAAATACCAGACTTGTGAAAAGGAAACATACCTATGAAATGCAAGCATTGTTACTATGACTGGCTTGAGTGACCTGTAAACACCCCATCAGTGTAACACCTATTGCAAAAAAGCAATCAGTTGTTTATTTGAAATATCAAAGGAGTGCCCTGGCAGGAGACTAAGTGAAGGAACATGCATGAATGACCCATGAACATGGACGATGGTGTAGGGATTGACTGTGGGAGAAGGGGGTGGGCTGGGCAGAGGAGAGCAAAGGGGCAAAGACTGAGACAGCTGTCATAGAACAGTAATGAAATATCTAATCAAAAAGGAAAGTGCTCTTTAGCTCTATTGGTGTCTTAACCAAAGCAAGCCAGTTACTATTACATGATGATATACATTTATTGGGAATTTTTCTTTTACACATAATATCGCATTTAATCACAACAATGCTACAGGGTAAAAAATTATGACTCCTCAATTTTAGAAGTAGAAAACTAAAAATTAGAGAGAAAAACTTGCTCAAAATCTCACAGCTAGTATGTGACCAACAGAAATCAAATTCTGGTCTGTCCTGACCCCAAAACCTGCACATGACCTTCTGTGCCCAACACCGTGTTGGGTCCTGAGTGGGGCTCAGTCGGACTGGGTTCTCAGCCCGCTCTACCACCAGCTGTGTGAACTCACTTAACCTTTCTATGTCTCAGTTTCCTCATCTTTAAAATGTGGATGTGAATAGTACCTCCTTGATAGGGTTATTATGAGGATCAAATAAGCAGCTATTGGCAAAGAATTTAGAACAGTGCTTGGCAGGTAGTAAGCACTTCGTAAGTGTTTGTGAAATAAATCAGGGGCATCGTGTCTGTGATTTACAGATGAGTTTGTGCATTAGCCCACCGCTGATGGGAGGGGCTGAGCTCCCCTCTGAGTCTGAAGACTCTTTTCAAGGTCATTACATAGTGACAATGTATGTGTCAGGTTGTAACAGGGTTCAGCCAAGGGGGAGGCCCCAAATAGGGATTTGTAAAGAACTTGGTGTCCAGGAAATATTAGAAAAAATATATATATATGATGTTCTCACCCCCACAAGTCTGAGCTGGGGGATGGGATACATGAAGCAAGGCCATTGAGAACTGTTTTTCATAGCAACAGTTTTGCAAATAACCTCTGGATCAGTCATTTAACATATTTATAATCTTTAACTGGTTTCATAGATATGTTAAATAGCTGTGGCCATACTTTGAGCCAGAGGCATGAGAGTGACTTCAACCCATGATGTAACTGGAAGGCAACTCTCCCTGGTTACAGAGCTTGTGTAAGAGCTTGAAGATAATTGGCTCTACACCACAGGGCCACACCTGCCTGGGCTTACTATGGCAGCCCAGTAAAGTTGGAAAAATATGGGAATGCTGGCAGCTGTGGCCAATTGTGGGTGGAGTCGGAAATCGTGCAGAAGGAGATTGGTGCTGGGATTTAAACCCAGGCACAGCAGCCATGTGGGGTCTTTTGGGGGCTTGGGCAGAGAAGAACCATGGACTTCTACTTCTTTTTCTGAGATATGGTACCTAGGACTGGGAAGAGGGAGAAGGAAGGACTGTGAGTTTGTGGGTATTCTAAAGAACTTTGGGATCTCAATGAAGATATTATTAAGTTATCACTCTTAAGTTCATATAACTCTTTAAATAAACAGTCCCTTTCCTTTTCACCAATTTCTGGCACTGAGAGACGTCTTTCCCTGGCAGTGAGCAAGGTGAACCTAGTGTGGGGTGGGGGACACCTGGAGTACAAGGGTGGGTCCATTTGGTAATAGTATATTGTCCATAGGTCTCATAATAACACCATCTTAATTGAGTCTGCAGTTTGCCTTTCACCAAGCATTTGTACAATGTCCCTTTCTGTTTACACAGGAACCTCATGAGGGCGGCAGGTGCTTTCCCCTGGATTACAGTTGATAAGGGAAGCCAGCTGATAAAAGGTTTGATACCAGTAAGTCACCACTGAGAATAGATGTGCTGAGTCTCATAGGGAAACTCCGGAAGCTGGTTTACAACACCTGCCTGGCTTGCTCCGTCCAGGGATGAGGGGCTGGGGTATTTATTGAGGAGACGAACTCTTGTCCATCATCATGGGGACATTAATTCCTGGCACTTCTGGCCTCTCATGCATGTAGCAAAGTGGGCTCAGAAGGCAGAGGGCTCCAGAGGGACATGTGGGTATTGGGACTTGGGAGTAGGTCCTTGCACTGAAGTAATTAGCATGAGGGGTGATGCGTGACCACCCCTGGCAGCATCTAGCAGCATCTGCTACAGAGTCCTGTGGGGAAATGCTCTTGTCACCTTTACTTGCAAATAGGTCTGTGAAATGTAGTTGTTTAGTTGGGCATGTTGCTATTTTCATCTCAATCAAGGTTTTGAGGGTAAGGGAGTAGAGACATGACTCCCCACCCCAAGATGGCCACATCCTGGGATCTGGGGATACGTTACCTCCGAAAGCAAAAGGGAGTTTGCAGATGTGAATAAATTCAGGATATTGAGATGGGAGATTATCCTGGCTTTTATTTGGGTGCGTGTGATATAATTACAAGGGTCCTTGTAGGAGGGAAGAAGGAAGATGCCATGCTGTTAGCTTTGAGGATGGAGGAAGGGGCCAAAGACATGGAATGTGGGCATTCCCCAGAAGCTGGAGAAACCTAGGAAACGGATTTCACCTGAAGCCTCTAGAAGGAACACAGCCCTGCCATTGCCTTGACTTTGTATTTCTGACCCTCAGAACTCTAAGAGAGTAAGTTAGTATCAAACCACTAGATGTGTGGTCATTTGTTATGGTAGCAATAGGGAAATCATAGAGAGGATGAGTATTGGATGCGTTAACATAAAGGTCTACCACAGATGTGTAGTGGGTAACTCAAATGACTTGTGTGTAACAGAACTGTCGATTTCCACCATTCCCTCCCCTCCCACAAACGTCTCCCTGGTCTCAAAAAACAGAACCATTTCATCTACCTGCTTAGGCTATAAAGTCCCCTTCAACTTCAAGACCTTTCCCACATTCCCACTTTATACCTGCCAGAAAATTTGCTAGCTCTCCTTTTAAGATAAAGCCCATGGCTAACCACCTCCCATGACCTTCAAGGCCACTCCATCCTGTCTCCATCTCACCTGGGCCACTACTGCAGCAGCTTCTCACCTGGGCTCCCTGCTTCTACGTCTAGATTTTCTCTCTCAAATCCATTCTCCAGAGTCTCTTTTCTGATAGCTTACTGGATCCTATCCCTTCTCTGCTCAAATCCCTCTAATGTCTTCCCATTGCTTGAGAATGAAATCCAAGGTGCTCACCATGGTTGAAAGGCCTGCATGATCTGACCCTGCCTGCCCTTCACCCTTTTGTCTTGTCATCCTGCTCTACAGCACTAACTTTCTTAAAGTTTCTCAGACATGCCCAGGTGGTAGCTGCCACAGGGCCTTTGCACTTGCTACTCCCTTTGCATAGAACCCTCCTTCTTCACATATTCCCATGGCCCACTCCCTCACTCTAT